AAACATAAAATGCAATAATGTGAGCATTGTACTGCAAATATCCACAGATATATGATAATCACCTAAATTATCGAGATGTAACTTTTACGCATAACTAATGACATTATTTGTACGGTTACACAGACACAGGTCTCACTAGGTCACACAGACCTCTCCTAGGCCACATAGGCCTTTTAGCTTTTAATCTGAATGTTACAACTAACAAATTGTGTTCTTTAACCATAAAGAGCTGGTATTTTGTTGTTCCAAGTTATGGTTAGCGTGCCATTGCTTGCTAGTAACAACATGACAATTATAAGTAATCACTATCTCCAACAACACCAATTGGCAAAAAAGAACACCTCAAAATTTAGTAATTATACTTCGAAACACTCGTCTCAATTTAACAATGCAATGTCTCTTTATTCACTCCTCAAAATACAGTGGTTGGAAGAAAAACTACGTAACTATGGCAACCCATCAACATATAGGCCGAAGCCCCACTCCAATCTTGCCCTTTTCGTTCACTCCTCGTCGACGAAAATGGAAGACGATAATAACACTGAGGAAATCCATTCCCATCCACCAGAAAACGTAAGTGATACTGAGTCATCTTCACCCACACAGCTGGCACAGGCTATCGTTGCCGACCAGCCATGTATTTCAATGATATCAAGCGCGATTTTGTCTACCATCCGTGCCGATTCATCAAACGGTCTCGTTTCTCTGCCATCGCAAGTAACACAAAAGACCGCCGAGTCTATGTGGCAGCCGGTTGAGTATGCCACCGGAGAGTCTTTGAACCAAACGGTGAAATCACGAAAAAGAACAATGCCCATTGAAGTTGACGTGCAGGTGGTTGAAAAAACTCACCAATCAAAACGTGTACGCCTCGCTGACAGTGTACCCAAACATGCTCAGCACATGGCCGCGAGCTGTGTTTTGGAGGACTACTAGAAAATCATGTGACCTCTGTGGATAAAGCATCTGTAGTCAGCATGTTTCATTGTATCAAGAAGGTTATCATGCTTGTTGGGGATATCTCAGCCCAAATCTCATCCAAGAGGCGCGAGCAAGTTCTGACTAAATTGAACCCCGCTTTATCATCCTTGGGAAATGAAACAAAAGTAGATTCCATTTCAAACCAGTTTACAATAAATATGTATCAAAAACCTTCAGATTTGTTAAACATACCCTTAGCAGACAGACTAAAGCAGTTTTTACCCATTTGTTAACAGCTTACAGGGGATCCCTGGGTTGTGTCGGGGTATCTGATAGAGTTTACATGTGGCATGGGCTCCCTGTGTATGTAATCGAGAGGGCCTGGTGACCAGGACTCTCCTCGCTTGATCGTCCATGCTCGATTGTGAAACTTCTTAAAGACATTGTGATTTAAATCGTTTTATTATAAGCCTATTTTA